GAATCCTCGTCCCTGAGGCTGCTCATGGCCAGCGTCACCGAGCTCTGCCCGTTGTCCCTCGAGATCCTGAACCGGCCCCGCACCGACGGCGCGTACCAAGTGCTGCCACCACCGCTGATATCTGCGACATATTCCAGCCCCTGCCCAGGTCTCTGACGGATCCAAAACATCCCAAAACTCCCAAAATCCAACCCGGAGCCTCGGCAGACCAAGGTCAGGGACCCGCCGGGGGGCTGGAGGTCCCCCCCGGACTCCAGCAGGGTCACGGCCACCCGGAGCCCTGCGGGAACCAGGGGAGATGAATATTAATGAGATGGTAATGAGGGGTCTGTGAGTATGTAAATGAGGAGGGCGGGGCTCACCGGGCAGGGCCAGGACAGGGATGGAGCTCGAATTGCCGGGGTCGGTCCCGGGGCTGCTCGGGGCTCGTTCACGAGCTGTTCATGGGGCGAGTGCTGCGGTCGGGAGCAGCAGGAACATTTGGGGAAGTGAAACGCAGCTTTTGGCGCAGCTGCCGCTCGGTCGAGGCCGCGGCTCTGGGAAACCCCCACGGCCACGGGCAGAGGATCCCCGGGAACCTCCTCGGCCCGGGCAGGGGCTGGAGTGGCTCGCGGTGATCAACACTGGTAGTTACACCTGGTACGCACCATCGGTCAAGGGCCGGTTCAGGATCTCGAGGGACAACGGGCAGAGCTCGGTGACGCTGGCCATGAGCAGCCTCAGGGACGAGGATTCCGCCGTTTATTTCTGCGCCAAAGAGGCCGCTTCCAGCGCTGGTTCTGGTTTTGATGGTTTTGACCCCCTCCCTGTCCGCGGGTGCCCACCTCTCACCAAACCCCAAATTGTTCCCTCCAACCCTCGCCCCCTCTGTTGACCCCACGGACCCAAATCTGCCCCACGGCCCTGTCGTGGTTTGACACGGAAAGAGAATTTTTCCCGGAAGGAAGAGGTCAATTTGGATATTGAGCAATTAAAGGTGGACACGCCTCTGAGAACACAGAGGTTTAAAAGCAGAATTCCCAGGGGAACTCGCTCTCTTTGGTTCCGTGCTGTGCTCTCCCCTGCCCGGTGACGAGCTGCGTGGGGAGGGGAAGGTCCACGGCCTGACCAAGGTGGGCCCAAGGGTGGAGGGACTGGAACCCCCTGCAGATGGAAGGGTGGAGAAATCTGGGATGTCTCCGTTCCCCCCACCAGAGTTTCTCTCTCCCGAGAGGGAGACAGAAAGAGACAGCGGCGGTCCTGTCCTGTCAGCAATTCCACGGCGAGGAAGGAGGAGCGGGGGGAGCGGCAAGGTGCCCAATTGTGTGGGAGTTGCTGGATGTCCGGGCATCGAGCCATCCTGGGAGTTCGGACTTTTAACCCTTTCTTGAGAAATGAAAGCTTTGTGAATTTTCCTTTCCCCTCCT